CTCCAGGTAACGTTGCTGGATTTCTGCGCTGGTCAGGTCTCACGGCTGACCACCTCCCTGTTGGCTCTTCCTAAACCATGATCCCGGTCCCGGGTCTGCGGTGAACTCAGGGGGTTTAGACCACAGCCCTCCCGGCTCAGGAGTCCAGGAGGAGCCCAGTTCGCTCACTTGGCCCCACCGGGGTTCCTCTCGGGGGAGCACAGACCCCTCCGCAGGTCCCCGGGGCGGGCGGGGAGCCCCTTCTGGCTCTCACACAGGTCCCGCCTTCCTCAGCAAAGAAGGGGACGTCGTGGCCTCTGTGTGCCACCTCCTAGTTTTCTCATTTGTCCAAACCCCACGTGGAGAAGATGGGGCGCCGCGGCTCGAGCTTTGCGCCTCTCTTCATGTACTGAGATCGGCACCCCCAGGACCTCAGCATGTGACCTGGTTTGGAAACGGTGCCCTGCAGGTGACATTAGTTATGATGGGGCTGTACTGGAACAGACTGGGCTCCCATCGGACCCATGTCCTGATAGGAAATCGGGACTCAGACACGCACCCCGGGGGACCCTGTGTGAGGACTGGGCCAGTCGCTGCCTGCCCAGAAGCCACCAGGAGAGGGACCTGGAGCATGGCCCTGTCCTCACTTTGACTGTGGACTCCCAGGCCCCAGACCTGTGAGACAGCACTTCTGTGGCCTAAGTCTCTCCGTTGTGGGACTTTATTACGGCCACTCTGGAAAGTACAGGGGCTGTTATTGGTGGCCTCAGTCTCACGCACCAGGTCTTTAGACCCCAAGACCCTCCCCTCCACCACCATCAAGCGGAAACCTCCCGTCCACAGCCTCCAGCCCCCCCAAGGGCACCGTGAGCAGTCCTGATCCATCCCTGTGCTCTGTCCCCAGACTCCTGAGGCCCCTTCTAGAGTGGTGGCGTCCTCTGTTGGCTGCCCAGACTCAGCAGACACCTCTGCCCCTTGCTTGTCTGGGCCCCACTTCCTTCTCGGCTGCCCCGTCCCTGCCTCTGAGCGCCGTCAACAACACCTGCCTCCTGGCACGCTGGGGAGAGCCCAGGAAATGTTTTGACAAGGAGGAGGGTGTCCAGCTGCTCTGTGACACGGCTGCTGTCACCAGGTGCCGAAGAGCCAGCTGGGGTCCTGATCTCCACTGTGTCCCCCCAGTCCATGTGAAGAGCGGGTCCTTCTGAAGTGCTGGCCCCCAAGATGCTCCCTGGACCTCAATCATGGCCCTGGTCACAAGGTGGGCGTGCCTCCTCCAGGAAGCCCTCCCTGGCCACTCTGTGGCCTCTGCCTTCTGCTTCCCTAGCCCAACCCCAGCCCTGCAGGGTCACGTTGGCACTTTGGGTTTCTGCCCCCCCAGTCCTGGCCACACTAGGACACCTGGGAACTGTAGTAGGCCCCACTGCTCAGCACCGTTCTGCAGGTTGTCTTGGCGTGCTCTTGAATGCTCGTTGGTGATGGCAGCGGGGACAGGACAGCCACCCAGGCCCCAAGGTCTGTGGCCAGAGCTGGGCATCCTTTGGTCCTCAGCACAGCACCTGGGCTGTGGCAGGTCTGCATGACGAAGGAGCCACCTTCCCGAGTGTGGAAGGAGATGAGGGTCATGTCCCCTTGTGGTCAGCAGTGAACGTTGAACCAGGGCCCTCGGTGACACCACAGGGCTCAATGTGCGTGCTTCCCTTCCGGCTCTGGCTTCCCTCTCCGTCCCTCTTGGGGAAGTTGAACTGCCCCCGTGAAAGGGACTCACCCACCCCTCGAGCCCACGGCCCCCTCCGTTTCCACGGTGGCTTCTGTTGGTCTTAGTGGTGACAGTGTTGGCTACCTCACCACTCTCTGGGTCACCCCTGGGGCCAGGCCATGCTGCAGTGACCCCCCTTGACTCTGGTTTGGCCAGCGACTTGCTCTGCCCACTGGGATGCTGGCCGACATGACACGGGCAGAGGCCTGGGGGACTGGGCAGTCCCTGCTCTTGCTCTCCTGCAGCCGTGAGGGGCCAGGTGGGGTGAGCCTGCCAGAGCGTGGGCTGGGAGGGGCCAGGATGAGCTGAGTGGTCACGCGAGGGCCAGCGTGATGATCAGCCGGCTGCCAGTGGCCCTCAGTGCTGGGGACCCGGATGGGACCAGCCAGCTGGGCACGGGGCACCTTCACCCCGCAGCCTGCGAGCAACCCTTCCCGGGCTTCCCGCTGCAGTGCGGGGTCACTTACTGCCAGCTTCACCATGCCTGCGGGAACAGCCGCTCCTCTCCTCCCCTGCACCTCAGACCACCTGCTGCCTTGGGCCCTTTGCCCTCCTGGGCTCCCCAGCCCCCTGCTCCACCCCACCTGACACATGGTCTCTGCTGCTGCTTCAGAGGCCACCAATCCCGGGGCGAATGGAGGGGTGGGTTCTGAGACCCGAGACCCACCCGGAAGGTCGGGCCGCAGAGCAGACAGGGCAGCAGGAGGCTGCTGGGTGCCTGGGTTTTGTGTGACAGCAGATCTGCGCGTCACTGACGAAAAGTCAACACACGTGTTCAGTGATGTCCCGACGTCACTGGCAACACTGCTGACCAATTTGTTCTCTGAGATGATGCTTAGTGACAGCAGTGAGGGACTCCTTAAATAGCAACGCTGAGCTCCCCTTTGCCAGTGGCTTGGTGATGTGTTTTATCAGAGGTGAGGTGGGTGTCACCACAGTGTGGCCTGTGCCCACCGTGGAGCACGCAGGCTGCGGCTCCTCCTCATTACGTGTGCTGTTGAGCGCTGCTGTTACGATAGCAGAGGCTCCGGAGTGTGAGGTCCATAAATAGAACTCACGAAACCAACGGCCAGAGATGCATAGGACTAAATTCTTGCTCCGGGATCAACAAAAGGCGCCAGCATTTTCCTTGGAGACAGCAGGGTGGAAGCCAATGTGGGTTTTCACCTGGCCTCAGAGCCCAGGAGTCCCCTTAGCTGGGGGGTCATCACCACTGCCCCTGCCTCTGTGGTCTGAGCTCAGCTGCCCTGAACAGAGGGGGGCAGGAAGAGGACAGGGAACCCGACCTGAGCCCTTCTGCTCCGGGTGCCGTGAAGGCCAGCCTCGCTGCCTCCCTTTAGACCTTCCTCACCTGTGAGGGTGTCCACTGCTTCTGCTCTGCAGCTGGGAGGGCGGAGGTTCAGGGGCACAGCCACCTGCCCACGGGCACACAGCTGACTGGCTGAGGACTGGCGGAGGTTCAGGGGCACAGCCACCTGCCCACGGGCACACAGCTGACTGGCTGAGGACTGGCTGAGGCTCAGGGGCACGGCCACCTGCCCACGGGTACACAGCTGACTGGCTGAGGACTGGCTGAGTCTCAGGGGCATGGCCACCTGGCCAAGGGCACACAGCTGACTGGGCTGAGGATTCTGGCTTTTGGGTACAAACTGGGGACCTGGGTTTTGTTGCTCTGCAGCCTTGATTTGGGCTTCAGCTCTGCGTGGTCCCTGGCATCTTGAGGCAGTTGCTGACCCCCCAGGGGCCTGAGCTTTGAACCCCTGCCCCAGAGTGTTTCTGTGGCTGGAAGATTCAACTCCCCACTCCTGCACCCTGGTGCCAGTGTGGATGCGCCCCTCAAATCTCATGTGTTGGACACTCAATCCCAAATTCACGTTACTGGCACTTGGAGGTGGGGCCTCTGTGATATGATTAGAGAATGTCACGAAGGTGAGGCCTCATGGTGGCTTTAGTGGCTTCACAAGTAGAAGCAGAGATCCCAGCCGACAGACTTGCTGTGTCTCGCCATGTGCCAGGTTACATGCAGCATGAGGCCCTCACCAGACGTCAAGAAGATGCTGGCACCATGCACTTGGACTTCCCAGCCTCCAGAACCATGAGCTAAGCAGACCTCTGTTCTTTATAAATCACCTTGTCTCCGGCATTTTGTTATAGCAACAGAAAATGAACTAAGACAAAGGGAATGTGCACTATGGGAAGGGAAACCCCAAGCCACATGTCAGTTCATGGAAAGTTCTAGAGGAGCTTCCAGAGAAAGCTAGGGTCTCATCCTGCAGGCGTGGGGAAGGCACAGGAGGAGCTGAGTAGAAGAGGTGACAGACTCGTCCCTGAGTGAATGCCTCAGCAGCGCTGGAAGAATCCTGCTCCCCACTCCAGCCCATGCTGCAAGAGGCCTGGAGGGCTACGCCCCTGCAGCCATGCCAGGGATTTTGAGTGGAGGCTACAGTGACTTTTGGTGGCAAAGCCGCCATTGGTCCCTAGTGTGGCCGCTTGTCTGTCTGCTGGGCGTCTTGGGCCATGCTCTTGACCTGTGGTTCTTAGACCTCACCGAGTGTCACGGCCCAGACTGCTGACCTCGACAGAGGCCCAGGCTTGCTGAGGACACGGCTGGCCCTTGGTGCCTACAAAGTCCCACAGGTGAGCCAGGTGGGTGAGCCGCTGACCTGGTGGCTTGCCGCTCCAGATGTGGCCCGTGGACCTGCAATGTGGGCCTTGCCTGGAGCTGCAGAACGCAGAACCTCGCCCTAGCTCAGACCTCCTCAGCCAACCTAGGAGGGACCCAGGATCACAGGCACAAGGGAACTTGGAAGTCCTGACAGCCATTGACCAGGGACCGTCTAGGGGACTTGCCAACACACTCCATTGTGTCCCATTCCCATGGCAACCCCAGAGGGGCACTTTTTTTCTGTTTTACAGAAGATGACACTGAGGGTCAGAGGGGTGGGAGACTTCTGAGTCACAGGTTCATGGATGGGGAGCTGGGATTGGAAACCCAGAGGTCCCATGCTGGTCCCCACTGCACCCCGTCACCCTTAAGCCAGAATATGATCAGCAACGACTTCAGAGCAAAGTTCCCAATGAGTTCAGCTTAACTCACCGCGTGGCAGGACCTAGACCAAAAACGACACCAATGTTCATCCACCAGGAAGGAGACAGAACAGGGTTTCCTCATCGACCCTAAAGTCCAACCCCCAGGACAGGACTCCTATGTCCCAGTGCCCCGAGCCTTCCCCGGGGAGTCCCTGCAGAGAGCCCGCAGGCTTACCGTGCTCGTCCAGCAGGATGTTGTCTGGCTTGATGTCCCTGGAAAAGAAAACAGAGCGGCTGGCAGTGTGTTCCTGGGGACGCTGAGAAGCATCACAGACTGCGGGGCAGAGGTGACAACCCCCTGTGTGCCCGTCCCTCCCCGCACAAGGGCTCAGAGGGGGCGGGTGTGACGGGCAAGGGGCCCTGTCCTCCTTCCTTCTCCTCTGGAGCGGCTAGCAGGTGGAAAATGTGCTCCCGAGTGTCACTGACGGGCGGCCTCCTGCCCCACCTCCATGGTCATAGGAACCCCAGATGTGGACATTTAGACGTCAGTCTTCACCGTCACCCTGGACTGCAGAGTGGCAGGTGGTCTGTGTCCGCCCTGTGGGCGCCACTGCCTGGCTGACCCTCCTGGGTAGCAAAGAGCCTCGCGCAGCTCAGCCAGGGCTGGGGGTCTGGAAGTTCTGCGCTACGTCCTCATCATAGCAAAGGGCCCCGACTCCAGCTGGCTCTTACGGCCAGGCCTAGCTCCTGCTCTCTGTCCCTGGCATGGCTGGTCACTGTGGGCACAAGGAAACCCTGCTGGGCACCGCGGGAGGGTGGACGTGAGGCACCAGCTCCGACGTCCCACTCATCGCTAACGAACGGCACGAGCCTGCTGCCGCTCCGCAGGGAACCAGAGTGGACAGACATGCGCCCCACACGGGCTTGTGGCCAGGAGACGAGGCCCGTGACCGCTCTCTCCCCATAACGAGCAGTCGCTCCTGCGCTGGTCAGGTATCAATCCCACCGGACACTCACGGAGGTCATGTGTGACACGGCCGTGCCGTGTTGTCCTGGGGAGGAAGGGGACCCTCAGCCGTGTTCTTAAGTCCTCACTTTCACTGTGACCTTTTGAGCCCCCAAATTTTGATGAGATGAAGTAAGTGGGCGCCTGCTGCCAAGTGCCCAAGACGTCTGCTGTGAACGAGGGGATCACTGGGGAGGTGGTTAGGGAGCCCCCGGGTTCCCCTGGGAAGGCGATCTTGAGAAGGGGCAAAACAAAAGGCGGAAGACCCCACGTCACACACGCCTGGGCCCAGTCAGCAAACGCCGCTCCCGCCCCGGGGCTCCCAGCAGGTTTTCTCAGAAGACGTGAGAGGAGGGGAAACGAGGCGCGTGTCCAGCTGAGGCTGGGGCTCCTCCCACAGTGTCCTGGGGCTGGCGTGGCCTGGCTGGGCATGGGGGCCAGGCAGGAGGGGGCTGTGGTCCAGGGCGCACGGACCACAAAACCCCTGGGAGGCCACGGCCCCGAGACAGCGTCACGCCAGGACAGAGGTGGGGGCGTGGGACGACAGAGCCAAGCTGTGACCAGGTGCACGTGGGGCTGAATAGTGTCCCCCACTCCCGTCCCCTGCCCTCAGAACACCACCTTCTCTGAAATGGGACCTTCTGGATGTGATTAGTCAAGGGTGTCAAGAGGACAGTCTCCTGGATGTAGGGCCACCCCAAATCCAGTGACCCGGGTCTTTACAGGGGAAGGAGACGGGGGTGTGGACACACAGAGGAGACGTGGGGCAGACCCTGGGTGACACAGCCACAAGTCAAGGAGGCCTGGGGCCAGCAGTGGTAGGAGGCCAGGGGAACCTCCCGTGGGCCTGTGGAGGAAGCACGGGCCTGATGTGTGTGTGTGTGTGTGTGTGTGTGTGTGTGTGTCTGTGTGTATGTGCGTGTGTGTGTATGTGTGCGTGTGTGTATGTGTGTGTGCTGTGTGTGTGCGTGTGTGAGTGTGTGTGTGCGTGTGTATGTGTGTGTGCATGTGTGTGTGCTGTGTGTGTGTGTGTGTGTGTGTGTGTGTCTGTGTCTGTGTGTATGTGCGTGTGTGTGTATGTGTGCGTGTGTGTATGTGTGTGTGCTGTGTGTGTGCGTGTGTGAGTGTGTGTGTGAGCATGTGTGTATGTGCGTGTGTGTGCGAGTGTGTATGTGCGTGCGTGTATGTGTGTGTGCATGTGTGTGCGTGTGTGTGTGCATGTGTGTATGTGTGTGCGTGTGTGTATGTGTGTGTGCGTGTGTGTGCGTGTGTGTATGTGTGCGTGTGTGTGTGTGTGTGTGTATGTGTGTATTTTGGTACTGGGGATTTAACTCAGGGGTGCTTTACTACTGAGCTGCATCCCCAGTCCTTTTTCCTTTCTATTTTGAGACAGGGCCTCCCTAAGTGGCTGAGGACAGCCTCTAATTTGTAATCCTCCTTCCCCAGCCTTCCGAGTAGCTGGGGTGACAGGAACGAGCCACGGCACCGGGCAGTTCAGGTTATGGTAACCTACCAATGTTGTGGTCATTGGCTGTGACGGCTGCAGGAAGCCAGTGGTGGAAGGAGAGGGGGCCACACCTGGAAAGGTAGCCAGGGCACCCACTCACCACAGAATAACTTTAGACAGGGCCACCACCCCTCCAAGCCCCCACGCCCTGCTGATGGCATCTTGTCCATGAGGACCGGGGGACAGACACAACCAGCTTGGTCACCAGACCCCAGACTCCAAGGAAAGGGGCTGTCCTGTCTGGGGACCCAGCTTCGGCACTGGCTCCCTGGTTCTGACCACGCTCACCCAGCCCCGCTGCCGGCTGTGCAAGTCCCGCCTCTCTGCCTCCTTTGCTGAGTGCGTTAAGTGTCTGGATCATGGCCGGTTCCTTCTACAGCACTCTCAGCCCAGAGCAGAGTCTCAAGCATTTATGGGTGGCCCTCGGTAGCTACCAGGGACAAAGAATAAGACAGACCTGGCCCAATGGACCTGGTGTCTTGGCGGGCTGGGGACAGGACAGAGAGCATGTGAATAAGAGTCAAGCAGGCAAGTTGGGACAAGTGCTTTGAAGAAACGGGACGCGGGTCTGGAACAGAGTCCTACAGGGGGCCTGACTTCTGGTGCGCAGCCAGGGAAGCCTCTCAGAGGGGCAGCACAGAGCTGGCAAGCCAGAGCAGGGGAGGCTGGCTCTGCACGGTACAGGGGCAGGTCTGGTTTTGCAGACGAGGTTGGGGGTGGTGAGGAGAGACTTTGCACAGTGACAAGCTTCTGGCCCATGGAGTATGGCAGAGGTGAAGGGAGGTGCTCCCTGATCTGGTTGTCCCATGGCAAAGTGAGGAGTCCTGCCCCTGATTATGCTAGCCAGTGCAGACTGGGTGAGGACCGCCTTCCTGACTTGGGATGGGAGCCTCCAGGTGCGAGTGGGCCGTAGGCAGGACATGCAGCTGCCCCCAGGAGTCGGGTGGCCTCTGGCCAGTGAGTATAAGGAGAATGGGGACCTCGGACCTCCAGCCACAGGGACAGAGCTCCACCCACCACCCTGAGAGCTGGGAGAGGGTGCTGACCTCCAGGGAAGAATGCAGCCCAGGGCCAGGGGCTTGCAGTCCCCTGAGACCAGAAGCAAAGGAGCAGGAGAGCTGGCGGTACCTGGCCCGTGGCTGGAGAGGAAGAGCGTGGGTGGTTAAGCCACCAAGCTGTGCAGACTGGCGAGCAAACACAGCACCCTAGCGGAGACCCTGTGGTCTTGGGTGGTTTACTCTGACCCTCATCGTCCTCATCTGGGAAACGGTGTGACAGCAGCCACCTTGGTGCAGTTGAGTGCAGGAACCCAGAGCAGCCGTACCGCAGGTCCAAATGCTGAGGGTGACGCCGGGCCACGAGAGGTTCTCCTTAAAGGAGACAGCTCTGGGGCCGAGTCTCCAAGTTTGAGCAAGATGAATTCGGCTGCTTTTCCATGAGACTCCTGGGGCAGAACCGTGTGGAAGAGGCCGCGGGTCCGAGGCACTGGGAATCTAATAAGCAGAGCGTTTTATGGCAGAGCGTCTTATCAGAGCCGCGCTCAGCGGCTGCAGGGCCGTTTCTGCCAGGCCTATTTTTCACATTGATTGTATCTCAGCTCCAGAGTGGCCTCCTGTTGAAAATGGGCTCCTACATCCAGAAAGGGCATTGGAAGACGGTGTGGACGGGGACGGATGGGACGATGTTTTCTGAGGCCAAACTCATAAATTCAGAGCTGGCAAAATGACACTGTAACAGCAAGCATGCATGAGAGGCTACCCAACCCTGCTCTCAAATTATCCCCGGCTCCCAGATAAAACGCGCCATCAAATGTCAGCCAGGCCATTTTACAGCCACAGGGACGTGGCCGTGATCCAGCAGAGCCCATGCCCAAGCTGCCACGGAGGGTCGTGAGGACGCTCCTGCCCGCACCCCTGTGAGGAGCCTCTGAGGGTGCCTGCTGCCATCTTGCCCAGCAGCCAAGGCAAGAGCAGCCCAGTGGAGAAAGGGCTGGGCTGGTGCAGTGGACATCTGGGTCCGTTTCACCCAGTGCAGGGGACGCGCTGTTGGTGTGCATGGGTGGTTGGGAGGTGCAGACAGACTCAAGAGACCAGTCCCCAGCCTGCCTCTTGCTGGCCGTGGAGACATGAGCCCACTGGCCACTCTGAGCCTCGGTCCCCTCAGCTGTATGCTGGGTGGTTACACCTGCTCCACGTGGTTCAGCGAGGATTTGGCGAGCTGGTCCTCACGGGAGGGACCGGAGCAGGGTGGCACAGGGAGGCAGACCTCTGCTGCCATAGAGCTGGGCCAAGGCTGCCAGGGCTGAGGCCCAGCCCACAGTACAGGCCCTGGGAAGGGGACAGGAGGCCGTTACAGGGAGTCACCTTGGCCGCCGACCCCTGGCTTGGCCAGCACTGATGGGGTAAGCTGATGGGGGACAGGCGGCTGAGGAGCTGGGCTCTCTGAGTTGGACTCCATTGGCAGGGATCCAGCTTGCGGAACCAGTAACAAGAACGTGGACGCATCGCTCCTCACTGAATGCCCTCCTTTCTCCTGCTTCCTGTGATGGCAGGGCTGTCACGGACCTCGCCCCAGCACCAAGCCTCAAGTCAGTGGCAGGGCTGGCGAGGTTGACAGCTGTCCTGGCCGGTGTGCACTGAAGTCCAGTCTGTGGATTTAACAACGTGTGGCAGGGAACAGGGCTGGGGACCGTGGGGGCATTTAACATGTCACTTCACTCAGTGCTGACACTGCTCCCCGAGGCAGCCGTAAGAAAGAACC